ATAATGAGCGACTCTTCATTTACAGGCCCGGTTCTTTAAACAGGCATGGACTGCACTTTTATTTTTGTTGTGGATTTTTGCCCTGCCGTTTGTGCTACCTGCTAAATGGCTGACCTCACAAAAGCTTTGGAAGACTTCGTTTCACATTGATAAGCCTTTCCATAATGTTGGTTTATTTTCTTTTTCTTGCTTTTCGTGGTCTGTTGTTATTTTGCAGTGGGCTTTTAAAAATTGATGATGTTATTTCTTTTGCTGCTTCTATTAACCTTGTTTTTTTGCCGAAAAGTTCGTGCTTTTAGGCTTTTCCTCAAGAATGGACTCCTTCGTTCAAGCGGCAGAAATTCTGCGCTTTACCTCCCCTGAACATTGACACGAGCAACGATAAAGGTTTATGCCTTAAAATTCATTTTTCTTTTTGGAAAAAAATTTTTATGTTTGAAAGTCAGTGTAATGTCTCTGTTTTTTTTGTTTAAAGTTGGTTTTTTTTTTCAATTCAAGTTCGGTAATTTTTCTTTTTTTATGTTCGTTTTGCAGAAGGAGTTCATGGCTTTTCAAATGTTAAGGCTTGTTATTCCGGTTCTTCCTATTGGGAATATACTGGCCCTTCGAGTGGGTGTCGCAAGATAACTCGCTCTTCACTGTTTGATAGTAGATCTCACTGCGACAGATCATTAAGGGAAGAGTTGCTTTGCAATGAGTCACCCACAAAAAGCAGTACTGATTTAAATGTTCCTTCCTGTTCTCCTGCTGCTAGAGAAGTAACTCCAGAAAACTCTGCTAGGTATTGCTGATCATTCTATCCTAACTTGTTTTAGGCAATAGTCGTTGAGCTACATGCTTGTTTTTTAGGCCCGCTGAGGCGGAGGAGGTCGAACATCTGAAAAACATTGATTTTGTGTCTTCGACGACACCGGAAAGAAATAACGATGGTTTAAAAAGGATGGCGGGTGCTAGTTCTCCAGTCTCTCGCTACGTGGTGACGACTTTTTTTTTGTGTCAGTCATTAGGGAAATGAATTTATGATTTTAAATTCAAGAAGCGGATTGTCTTTCGTATTTCAGGGGAATGATGTTTTTAGGCGTTTTACACGCACGTTTTTATTTGTAGTACGTAGTGTGATTGGTTTGTCGTCATTGTACTTTTGCAGATTTTCATGATTTTTGTATTTTTCTGTTTTAAGACAGAACAGGGGTTTGTACGTAACGTTATGTCTGCTCCAGTACGTCGACCACCGTACCGTTTTCTTCGCTCAGGAAAGCTTAAATCTATTCCGAAGCTTGACTTTAGTTTGACGGATGTTGATGACGACTCAGCTAAAGAAACGGCTGCATCTCACACGACTACAGGCAGAGAGGTTTTGAAATTTAAGCAGTTTTTCTACCTTTTATGAATTGAATTTTCTTTGTCAAGGTTTTATTGATCGCGGACGGCGAGACTTTTACAGCGCATGACTCTTGTTTCTTTACTTTTTGATTTTCTAGAAAGCTTTTTTCTGAACTTTTGGAGGCCTATTTCTTTGTATTGCAGGTTGCTGATCGAGGTAGTTCAGCTGATGAACTTGATTATTAGTTTTTTTTTTTTTTTTT